GCACACACACACACACACACACACACACACACACACACACACACACACACACAGGCACGTGTGTTCATACACATAAATAAATAAATAGATAAGTATTTAAAATTAAAATTAAGGGGTAAGAGTTATTTAACATTTCTATGTACAGCAACTGAGTGGGTAATTTTTAGTGCCGTGTCTAACTTCAGGAAAGTTATATAAATATGTGACATTACTTAAAGCTATCATGTAGCTTAATGAATGTTATTGATATACCCTCTATAATCAATGTTATCAATAATATTAAAAATGAGCAGACACATATTCTTCAAAATTCAGGGTTGACTTGCAAACTCTGCTGTCTTTGAAGAGGATAGTAGAACCGTAGTTAACATAAAGCTATGTTAAAATTACAATTAGGCAAAATCTTCAAGACAACTTCATTGAATGAGTTCAGATCTCATACAAGAAATTTCAGCCTGTGAAATTGAGATTCTTTTTCAGTGAGTGATGGAGATACACATATCACAAAATATTTTCTGTGACAAATGATAGAAGCATCCAATGACTATCATAGGATTGGCTCCTCCATTAATATTTTCCTGCAGAAGGAGCACAACACCATGACTCCAAAAGTTCACCAATCTAGGGTCACAGGTAATACTATAACCATTATTGTTAAGGTCATTATTGTTTGAAAAACAGGAAACTTAGAAATCATTACTTTGTTGCAATTGAGACTGGAGTAGAAATTTTCCTCAGAGATACCCTCAATTATCTTTATGGATGAAAAGCTAAAATAAAATTAGCAATTCATTCTGGCACTCAGATAATATGAGTGGAAACATATAATATGTTTTAACAGAAAAATTCAAATTTGTATCAATATACAAAGATTTTTTTAAGCAAGAGTACAAGCATACATACAGTGGGTTGTAACAGAAATTAACTTAAACCTCTATTAGTATACAAAATATTTGAGATTAATAATTGTTTTTAAGTTATAGTCGATTCAATAATCTACCCTTTTATCTTATGATTCCTACATTTCCCTAAATATAACAGTTATCTGTAACCCATCAAATAATCAAAATCCTCCCACCCACCAACATTTGGGAATGTCAGAGTCATGTTCTCCAGATGCTTCCTGCTGTCTGTGGATGAAAGCAAGGACCTTAAAGGGTCCCTGAGAAAATTTGATATTAAGTTCAATTCCTACAATGAGCATCAGTTACTTTAGTTGATATATATGGCCTGTCAAGTTCAAGAGGTCTCACTTGCTATAACCATATCTATGTCAACATGGAGCAAATCCATAGCCTCTTGTTTCCTGTGGAAACAAAAGCAGAACTGCTTCTCCAAAGCATTTTGGATTCTCATTTGACAAATATTTTTGCTTTTTTAAAGTTAAGGCATTCATAAAGAATACAGACTCCTTTATTTCAACTGTCCCTCTTTCAATTCCATTTACGTCTGGACCCATTTTACTGTATGCCTTTTAGCCTTTTTACTGCCAAAGCAAACATTAGACTGCTAAGCTACACATGGATCTTCAGCATGCCCTTCCAGATGTCTATGCCTGCTTAGGATTTCATGAGAGCAAAGTCTAAAACTCTCAGCACAGTCAGACATAGATCACCAAGAACTATACATAGCCTTCCTAGAGCTCTGGCATTTGCATGATTGTGCTGTGACAGTCATTTTGACTGAGGTTATCATTGCTGCTTAGTGTAGTGGCTCTTCAAAGGCTAAACAGTAGACAGAAATTCATTAAGGAGAAACTTTTTTCTGCATTCTCAGGCCTTATATTGAAATATAGCCCCATGTTGGGTATATAAATTTTGCTTAATGTTTTAGTCCTTTAGCGCTTTAGTTTTTTACATGTTGGGGAGGGCACCTCCCAGGTTCCAAGTTGGTACACAGTTGCATGTTATTACTTACAAATGCCTGTCCTTTGCTTGGCTTTTTTCCAGCCAATTTTTTAACTCAAATGGTCCCACATACCTTTCCCTCTAGACTTTTACCTTTCTCCATTTATGTATATCTTACTTTCCCTCCTACTCCACGACTTGCTGTGTGGTAGGATAAGCTACCACAGCTTATCCTTCCTCCTGCCTCACTATAGGAAAAACAACTCTTTATCAGAACGTAAGGTGTTGTAGACAGGCCAAGAATCACAGCTTCACAAAGTTAAATTAATACAGCATAAACAAAACCAGTACGTATTTACATCATGAAACTAATGTTCCATAGCCTAAAAGTAACACATCATAAAATAATGTTCTACAGACATATACATTTACAATATTGTCAGTATCATGTTTCAGTTGTACACATGTATGTGATATTTTAGAATACCATGACCTATGATGATTTGCATATTGACTTCACTTGGGAAGAGTGGACTTTGCTGGATACTTCTCAGAAGAATCTCTACAAAGATGTTATGCTGGAGACCTACATGAACCTCAATGATATAGGTAAGAGTGTATTTTCCTTGATACTTTAAAGTAATAGGACAACTATTCCTTTGTTACTGATGCTCTTCTTTAATTTGAGAGAGAAAAAGAATGTGTTAATAGAATCAGTCAAAGTTCTACAGTTCACTGAAGACAGTAACTTAAGTTTTGCACATTTTTCAACAATATAATATACATTTTCTGGTACTATGTTTTAGGATACAGTTGGGAAGACCATACGATTGAAGAACATTGTCCACGTTCTAAAAGACATGGCAGGTAACTTTCATGTGTGAGCTGATAGAAATGTGCCTCTTTAAAAAATTGTAATATGTCCTGGAAATTTGAAACAGAACCATCAGTGTAAATAAGCACAGCTTAAAGTGCATTGATGATTATTAAATTCTCACACAACCATATACCTCAGTTTCCGGTAGGTGAACTGCCTTTGCAAGGCATTATTTTAAGAAAGAAAGCAAGGAAACAGTGCCTTGAGAGTAATTACCACTTGAATCATTGCACCATGAGAGCTATGTTGTAGAACTTTAAATTAATTTATTTCATACTATCCCTGTTACTAAAGGTATACACATGGTTGAGGTGATAAGCATATCTCCAAATCTTCTATTAAGCAAATACTCCATAGAAAAACTAGTTTACTCATGTACTTGCTGCTACTTTCTAAGTGTAGTGACAGAGGCTATTACCATCAAGTGTCAAGGGGCACTTATTGCAGGGAAATTTTAATTGCTCTAGCACATGTCTCTAAGGAACATAAAGCCCAACTGAATTAAATGTGTAAGCCTCTTCTTTGTAATCTTTACTCTACCAGGTATATCATGTATTAGTCAGGATACAAGCTGTAAAGCCTTTGGGCGCCTCGGAAGGGACAGGTATTCTAAAACTCAGGAGTCATAGAATACTGAGTGTTACACAGCTCAGTTGGAAAGGTATCCTGCAGCTCAGGAGCCATGGAATGCCACAGGTCACAGTAAGCGCAGCAGCTAACAGCCCTGTTTCAAGGGGATGGGGGTGTTTCCCGGATGTATCAGCTCTGATCCAGCAGAAAAGGGCTTCCTTGCAAAGTTTTTGAAATTCGGCTCCAGTCCTCTGGAGAGTGTGGGCGGAGTGTAACAACTCTGATCTGTCAAGGGAATGTTTCCCCTGATAGAAATGTTAGAACACTGCTTGATTTGTTCTGCTGCTCCTCTCTGCCACTGCCGCTTAGCTGGTCTTCTCAGCTGCTCTTCTACTGCTCTTGCCTGTGGCCCCTCTGCCGCTCCACAAAAGAAGGTTTTCACCCAAAGCTCGTTCGGGGATTTTTATTATTAGAAGAATTCCGTGCATACACAGGATTTAAAATGGGATTCTTCCGGGGCAGAGTTTTTCCAGGGGCGGGCATTGGTCAAATTTGAATCCTAGCTCTCCTGTTCAGTGATTAGTTTTCTGCATAGGTTTAAGGTCAGATTGGGCTCTAGTCAAAGTGTTTTTTTTTTTTTACTGATCTTTTTTTGTCTTTTTGGTTCTAGATTTAGGGCCTGGGTGTATTTCTTTCACTGACTCCAATTCTAGAGGCAAAGAGTGTTTCTTACTGGTTTCAGGGTCAGGGTACATTTCTTTGGTTCTGCTCAGGTTGTGTTTCTTTGGCTAGATCCTTTTCCCTATACAAGCCATGTGAGCAAAGGGCGTAATATACCTCTATCAGAGAATATTTAAAAGACATGTAGTAGTTCTTGTTTTTGAGCATACCTGTTAAATTTCATTCATATGTACAAGTAATTTGTTTTCTAGCTTCATTGATAATACACCAACAAGCTCAGTCTGCAGAAAAAAGCCCTATGAATCTAGGACTGTGTAAATACTTCTGTTTGTTTTACTTCATTAGCAAATGTAGTGTGACTCAACGTTTAAGAAAATTTAAAAATTCAATATGGGTGATAAAGATCTAAATGTTTCCAGTTATCTTCAATATGTGAAAAATCTGTAGAAAACGGTTCTAAAAATTAGAACCATATACTAAAGGAATATACCTCCACTGGTATCTTCAAAGATGGAAAACAATCCTTAATGAAGGTGGAAACATGAGTGTAAACACAGTGATAAGACTGTAAAATCTGATTCTTCTTCACAATTGAAACAAATTTTAATACTAATTTATACAGACATCAAGATTCAACATTGTATTGAATATGGTAAAGCATTTACATGTGCCCATTTTCCTTACAGGCATGAAAGATCACATACTGGAGAGAAACCCTATGAATGTAATCAGTGTGGTAAAGCCTTTACTCGTTACAGTAGTCTTCAAATACATGAAAGATCACATACTGGAGAGAAACCCTATGAATGTAATCAGTGTGGTAAAGCCTTTACTCGTTACAGTAGTCTTCAAATACATGAAAGATCACATACTGGAGAGAAACCCTATGAGTGTAATCAGTGTGGTAAAGCCTTTGCTCAGAAAAGTGCTCTTAAAGTGCATAAAAGAACACATTCTGGAGAGAAACCCTATGAATGTAATTATTGTGGTAAAGCCTTTGCTCAACACAGTACTCTTAAAATGCACGAAAGATCTCATACTGGAGAGAAACCCTATGAATGTAATCAGTGTGGTAAAGCCTTTGCTAGTTACAGTCTTCTTCGAACGCATATAAGAATACATACTGGAGAGAAACCCTATGAGTGCAATCAGTGTGGTAAAGCCTTTGCTCAGCACAGTTATCTTCAAGTGCATAAAAGAATACATTCTGGAGAGAAACCCTATGAATGTAATCACTGTGGTAAAGCCTTTGTGTCCCAGAGACATCTTCAAATACATGAAAGATCACATACTGGAGAGAAACCCTATGAATGTAATCAGTGTGATAAAGCCTTTGCTCAGCACAGTGCTCTTCAAGTACATAAAAGAACACATTCTGGAGAGAAACCCTATGAATGTAATTATTGTGGTAAAGCCTTTGCTCAACACAGTACTCTTAAAATGCACAAAAGATCTCATACTGGAGAGAAACCTTATGAATGTAATCAGTGTGGTAAAGCCTTTGCTAAGCATAATACTCTTCGAATGCATAAAAGATCTCATACTGGAGAGAAACCCTATGAATGTAATTATTGTGGTAAAGTCTTTGCTCACAACAATACTCTTCAAATGCATATAAGAACACATACTGGAGAGAAACCCTATGAATGCAATCAGTGTGGTAAAGCCTTTGCTCAGCACAGTGCTCTTCAAGTGCATAAAAGAATACATTCTGGAGAGAAACCCTACGAATGTAATCACTGTGGTAAAGCCTTTGCTCGGCACTGTTCTCTTCAAGTGCATAAAAGAACACATTCTGGAGAGAAACCCTATGAATGTAATCACTGTGGTAAAGCCTTTGCTCAGTACTGTTCTCTTCAAGTACATAAAAGAATACATTCTGGAGAGAAACCCTATGAATGTAATCACTGTGGTAAAGCCTTTTCTCAGCATTGTTCTCTACAAGTGCATAAAAGAACACATTCTGGAGAGAAATTATATGGAAAGGATTTTGCAAGTCAGTTTTCTTTAAACCCATAAAAGAACACTTACTGTCATCAAAGCAGTTTAAGGTAACCAGTGGGGTAAAGCTTTTACTTATATTAGGAGTCTTTGAAACATTAGAAAAAAATCATACTGCATTGAAAGTATAAATATAGTCAGTTTGCTTTAATTTTGCACTTTATAGAAGAGTAAACCTTTGTGGGGAATCAATCTGTTAAAGCCTTTAAAAGTTATAATCATTTTTGGTGGGATCTTTAGCCATCACACTTCCAATCAGTTATACAACAGCATTTTATTTGTAGAAAATAATTGACAGTGTCAACCATCTGTGCAAGCATTATGATATTCATTTAATATTCATCCTCCAGCACCCTCATGGAAAAAATGGATATATGAACTTATGAATCCTTATGTGTAGTGTAACAGGGCCAGCAAAGAAAGACACCCCGGCCCAGAAACCAGATCCAGTGAAAGAAACAAACTTTGGCCCTAAAACTTGAGCCAAAGGAACACACCCTGAAACAAGACCAAAATGGTTAAAAAGGGTCAGGGAAACAAATACACTTTGGCCCTGAACCCAAAGGCAAAGAAACAAACTCAATTCTGACCAGCTGAGGAAAAATTCAACTAATACCCGAGCTCAAAACCAACCAATCCACAAGCAGGAATCCAGCCAATCTCAATATTTTTCACTCTCAGGGTTTGAAATTTTATCAAATAGCATTCTGAAAAATGTTCTGTGTAAAAAAACTATGCCCCTAAGAAGACATATATAAACCATATGCTTGTTCAGGTGGCAGATGGCATTTTCCACACTGGTAGTAGCTGATAACTTTCCTGGATTGCTCCTTCTCAAATAATTCTGTTCAATGAGTTTCAGTGAAGAACTTCTTTTGCCAGAGTGGATATGAAACGCCCTAGAAGTAACATACACCTTTGCTGGAAAACTCCCTTGAAACAGCAGAGTAGAAGAAAAAACTTTTCACTGGTGATGTAGCAGCCTGCTACATTTCTGGAGCATTTTCCCCCAAGTTGGGTGAAACAGAGCAGTGACAATTTGGCCTGCATCAAAGAAGAAATATTTAGCATTGCTTGGCACCTCCCTTGTGGAGAAGAGAAGATAAGCAATGGACACTTCTGGTAAATTTTCTTAGCAGGGTGGAGCAAATTCAGTTGTCATGATCTCTCTCTGAGAGACAGGAGTGCTACATACTGACCGGAGACCATCCCCCACTGGAACACAACTTCATGTATAGCCTGACTTCCTGACTCTCAGAAGCTGAGAAGAATGCTGCTGCCATCAATCAGTGGCATTCCTGGGCTAGATAACAAAAAAACAACAAGAAAATCACATTTGATGCCCCATATTTTGTTCCAAATTTCTTCTGTTTCTCTGTTTAAATTCTCTAACCAAAAGCAAGTCAGGTAGTGAACAAGTTTATTTGGTTGATATCCCTATGTCACTGTCCATCTTTGTGGGAACTTAGATTAGACAATCAAGCTAATAAAGGTAAAACATGAGGAAACATTGCTTCCAAGGTATCTCTCTTGCTTTCTAACTCTCTAGTGCTAAGCTTGCTGTCTTATGCAGCCCAGGCCTACTTGTTTAGAGATATGGCCAACTCAAAGGAAGAGACTTCAAACATCAATCATAAATCAACACAAACTGTCTCAGACACAGAAGTCAGATATTCTGATTTAGGTACACCCTCAGTGTTCCATTACATATCTCTAAGCTATTTCATATTTGTAGGGAAAAGGATCTAACCAAGGAAAAATACCCTTGCCCTAAAACTAGAGCCATAAAGCCAAAAAGACCAGTAAAGGGCTTTATAAGAGGGCCTTTGTAAGGAGATCTAGGAATTGAGATGGGATTTCCTACTTTTCCTGGATGACCCTTTGGACCTTTTCATAATTTACTGCTTTAAGAGCAGCCTTGTGGAGACCAACCATAAGGCAAGTTAAAAATCGCTTTCTAGCTAGGATGCCCCCTGAGGTATTGTAATTCCACTCAGGCTACTGGTCAGGGACTGTTATAGCCCCAACTGGGTAGGTATCATCGGTTTGGTGGACTTCATCTGCATAGGCCCTAGCCTGTTCCCAGACTCTCTCTCATTCCTCTGGGGGGAGATTGTTGGTAAGAATCATATAAACATCACGGAAAGTAAGATTGTATGACTGGGTAATATAGTGGAATTCTTTGATAAAGGTGGAATGATTAGCACTATAGGATCCCAATCTTTTCTCTATTTGGGAGAGTCCAGCTAATGAGAAGGGGACATGAACTTTGACTAAGCCATCCACCCTGGCAACTTCCCACAAGTGGAGAACTGTAATTGATATATGTTGGAGAATTAAAGGGGGTGTTCTCTTTGTGGAGCAGGAACGAGTAGGAGGAGGACTAGGGGCTGTTGGTGGTGTGCTGACGGTGAGTGCTAGGGAAAGCTGACTTGGGTGGCTTGTTACTGAGGGAGAGGAGGAAATTGGAGGGCCAGCGCAAGATGGGAAGCTGAGGGAACTTTTCAAGAGGGAGAGGGCTCATCGGCTGGATCAAAAGTAGTGCAGGGATCGCCCTGTTTATACTTCCTAGCCAGAAGGAATTGAGTGGGAGAACAGGAGGAGCAGAGAGAAGGCTTTGAGTGGAGTAGAGAGAAATCCTGGAAATAGAAAATCTCTTTCCATTTTTCCAATTGCTCACAGTAGTTGTAAAAGTCTCAAATAATTTTGGGATCTTGGGTGTCGTTACGTGGCCATTTGGACTGATTATCTAAGTGGTATTTACACCAAATTCGATTGCAAGAGCAAATAAATTTAGGTCTCTTCAGTTCAGGTTTCAGGTTTAGAGGCTGGAGGTTTTCTAAGAGGCACCCCAAGGGGGAATGGGAGGGTATGGATGATGCTGTTCCCATGGATGAGAAGGGAAAATTCACTGCAACCTGAAGTCAACAGCTTCCCCAGGACTCAGAGAGGACCTAGGAAGTAGGACCAAGCCATTCGGAGGGTTGTCACCCAACTCAATGGCAGTCAGGCTCTGGCCCTGGTACCGGGGCTTTCGTAGAGGTCCGAAGGCCATATACACCTCCCTGATCAAGAGAATTTCAGTAAGAAGACACTGTACGACTTTGTACTATGTAAAATATTAGCCAGTGAGTACTGTTTCACAAACTTTGAGCTGACTAAACTGTCAACCAGCATCGCCCACATCTGGATAGGAGAGTTCTCTAATGGGAAATTGAATACTTAGTAGTATTGTGCCCAAATTCTCAACCCCAGAATCAACAAGAGGCCCATTTTGATGCAAAAGCAATGAGTCTTTTATTGCAATTGTTTAACAGGATAATCCTATTAGCTCATGACTTTCATCCATCCACCACAGCAGATGGCTAGGGAAAGACCCCAAGATACCACCGGAGAGTGATCATATAGGGCAGCGTAAGGGGAGTGTCTAGGGGTACACACAGGCTCAGGACTGGTGTGCTTCCAGGCTTGGAGGACTTGCCCTGTGTTAATTAGTCAACTGGTTGTTATGGCCCATAGGCCCTCCCAGGGTGGTTGCTATGCTCTGCTGTGCACTTGTATGTAAAGCACACCCAGAGCCATGAAGTATAGCCCCACTAGCTATTTCTGATTGGTTCCTTGCCAGGAGGTGGACATCTGAACTCCTAGTAACCATGGCAAAGTCAGGCAAGCATGTGTTAGACTGTTATGGCTGCCAAAATGGAAGTTGGTTCCTTCAGTATTTCAAGCAATCATCCATGAAATATATACCCATCAATTCTCTGTTTTTTCATTTACATGGAAAGAATTAATGCATGCAGGAAATTGTAAATAGAGAAAGTAATTCGCCATGCCGCATCAGTCCTTCATAATGTAGACCCCTGCATCTCAGGGCCTCCAATTTCAGACTGTGATCTTGCTACCATCTCTTTTATTTCCCCTGAAGTGTACACAGTGCACTGTTTCCTCCTCTTCTGGTCTGAAGGGAAAAACCATGCTTCAATCACAGTTCTTTTCCCTGTTCTGCAATGGACAACCCACTATGTGACTCAAACTAGTCATTTTAACACTCTGTAGTGCTGCAGATTTTTAATCCAATATTTAGGGTTTATCAGGATAACAAGAGCAATGCCCTGTGGAGCTACAGACAGGGTTCAAGTTCACTCAATCATTATAGGAGACCTTGTCACAAAACTTCTTTTCAAAAGACTGGAGATGCAGCACTTCTAGAATCAGTATATCTTTATGGCACACCAGGACTTAATGGTTGGTTGTAACCCTGTAATGGTCCCTTGAGTAGCATTTATAGGTCTGCTGTTTTAATGGAGGGATAGACATTTCTGCTGTTTTTAAATTGAGGTTGTCTCCTTTGTTGCTGGAATGTAGCTGGTTAAACCCCAGGAAGAAAAAAAAAACAATTACTTCTAATCATACTGTATTCTAATAGTCATGGTTAGCACACTAATTGTCTTGGGAGTGTTTGGGATACAGTCCTCCATTACCTAAATTCTATTTTTTTGGCTTAATGTCTCCTAAGAACTGGTAAATCTCTATATTAATGTCGCAGTTTACAGTGGAATGCTCCTCTACACAGGAAATATTGTCTATAAGCTCCACATAATTAACTCCAATTGTATTCAAAACATAAACCTTAAACTTTCAAAGTGAAGAATTTTTAGAAGATACTAAAGGGACCAGGGCTTTCTGAGTTTGACAAATCTGTATCTCATAGAAACATCACAAGCACTAAGGGCCCCTGCATTTGACAATGATGTCAACAAGAATATTTCAAATCCCAGTCCCAATCCTAATGCTCTTCACAGGCACACCCAGCCAAGTGAATATACTCAGATTCTGCCACCTGGCCCAAAGAATTGCAAAGATGATGCAGGACCCTTAGGATCACACAGAAGTAACCTCAAGCATGCATGACCATTAGGAATATACAGGATACTACAAGACCAGGCAGGAACATGGTAAACTCTGTGTCTAGCCTCTTACTCCCACCCAGCCATGGGAGGACACTCCACATTGGTTCCCAGGGCTCGACTGGGCAATTCTCCCAGTCTGGGGATAGTAGCCCCAAGCTCTCCATGCCATGTCTTCCCAGCTTCTCTAAGCTCAGTTCCCTGCAGCAGCACACACAGCACAGCACACAAGACCACCATAACTGTTTCTCTGCAAAGCCAAGCCTGGAGATAGCAGCAGGAAAGACCAAGCACAACTTCTGACTGGCAGATAACCTGGAGCGCCTGATTGCCTAAAACAGGGGTATTCTGTGCAGCCATAAAACTCATTCTGTAGATCATGCACTCTACCATCTCGTTCATGTAAAGAATCTTAAATAAAGCAGCTGTGGTTTTTTCCCCCTGCCGATGGAGGAAGATGTGCTGTCTAACAATAGAGCTCATTACCACATTCTTTATCCACTAAGCTCCTTTATCCACTAAGTATTCAAATTTCCATGAACACTCCTCTTTTTATTATTATTCATTTGCTTAGAGTTTGTCCTCAATTTCAGGAATAACCTGAAAGCAATGGAGCCATCTTGCAGCCTTCTGAAGGGAGGAAGACCTATTTTTGTTTGAGATCTGGTTCTTTCTTTTCTTTCCTGGTTGTCTGAAGTCCCTGGGACAACTAGCATGAAACCACAGAACAATTATCTCTGTTTCTGTCCTTAAATCTCTCTTTCATTTTGAATATTCTGGCCACTCTTCCACCTGTGGGACAGGGAATCACTCCACCCACCCAGTATGGTGGGCTGTACAAGCTAGCTAGTCATGTTATTGTTATGAGGAAAGCGTCATTCTAGCCACTGGCTTCCATATACCCAAATAGTCTGTAATGTTATGGTGGAAGTTCCACCCAAGCTCCTTTCCTCCATCTCCCACCAAAACCTGCTGAATCTCAGAAAGGAAAATAATGACACTTCCCACGGAGATGCTCATGAACATTCCCCTGGGGTACTTAAACAGTCACCCAGAAACCAGACTGGTGGATTTTTATGTCTCCCATTCCCATTTCCTCTCTGGGGTGCTTCAATGCCATCCATCAGTGCCGTATCCATTAAACGTGAGCTTTTTCCTTTTTTTCCGTTTAAATAAATATATTTCTTGTAACTTTGCTGTTTGGATTGTGTGTCTTTTGTTCAGTTATGAGAACAATTCTTAATGTGTGGTGAATTATTGGCTAGCTTATTGGATGGAATAGCAAAGTTTTAAATGTAAAACACCAGGAAACATACATTCAGAGGTAGATAAGTTTGTTCATGAAGCCTAAACTGTCTAAACCATTAAACACAATTGCCACAAAAAGTACGAGGAGTCTACCAACTGATTCACAGGGTTTCCTTATTCAAACAAAATAGGCAGATGTACTAATCTAGTAGCTAGCTGAAGTAAAAAGAAGAAATCCCAAATACAACACCAAAGTTCATGATAAAATACATGCATTTAAATGTGGTCCTTCTGGTTGCAAGTTGGCACAAGATACTAAACTCTTCACGAAAATAGAAAACACACACAAAGATTAGGGAGGAGTCTCACTTTATGATCTTGCTCTCAAATTGCTCAGCACTACTCCATTTGCAGATACACTTGAGACAGTAGGTGTGGTTGCAGTTGGACAGTATCCCAAAGGGGTGCTCAATGGGGTTGGCTTTGTCATAGACCACCTCCATGCAGATCCCACATACCTTGTCCTTGCTGTACTGCACAGCAAAAGAGAGCTCCATGTCCTTCTCATGGGCCTCAATGCAAGAGTTTATGTGTTGTGTGACCTGTGGGCAGCATCCATTGGGTGCAGGACCTTCAGGCCACACATGTCCCAGGAGTCTCCGTGGAGATACACACAGTTTTCCCCATAGCAACTTTCTCACACTGCAGCATAGGGGCAGAGCTGCTTCTTTGTCTCCACTTTAGCTGGCTCCTTCTTTGACTCTTCCTTGGTCACTGAGCCCTGAGGGGTACTTTAGCAGTGGCTTGCTGAGTTCATATCTTCAGCAATCTCCATAAACACAGTACTGTTGTACCCAGATTTTGGAACCCCAAAAGAACCCACCAACAAGGAGAAGACTCACTGAATGTAAGGACAAAGGTTTCTTTATTGACTTGATACTAGCTGCAGCAAGGACCCCATTCATTCGGGAACAAATGGAGTACCCACTTTCGACTGAGGTTTGTTTTTATAAAGGAAAATTATAAGGCTGGAAGCCCCAAGATTACAAAACTTCCATGGTTACTCAAGACAGGACAATTGTTGTTTGCTTCTGAAAGAGCCCCAGAGGCTCAGGCCCCCACGGTTTCGGCCCAGGACCGCAGCAACCCCAATCACCAGACGGAGGTGAAAACTTGATGCAAACAGCATGAGGCTTTATTGCAGTTGTTTAACGAGTTAATCCCATGTTAGCTCGGGCCTTTCATCCATCCACCATGGCGGATGGTTGGGGAAAGACGCCGAGAAGCCATGGGACAGAGATCTTACAGGTCAGCATAAGGGGAGTATTTATGGGTACACACAGGCTCAGGATTGGTGTGTCTTCAGGCTTGGAGAACTTGCCCTGATTTGATTGGTCAGCTGGTTGTTATAGCCCATAGGCCTCCCAGGGCAATTGCTTTGCTCTGCACTTGTCTGTAAAGCACACCCAGAGCCATAAAGCATAGCCCCACTAGCTATTTCTGATTGGTTCCTTGCCACGAGATGGGCATCTGACCTCCTAGTGACCATGGCAAGGTCAGGCAAGCATGTGTTAGGCTGTTATGGCTGCCAAAATGGGGTGCTCGTCCCTTAACTTCAGGCAAGGTGCAATTAAGCAGGATGCTGTAGACAAAATGAGTTTGTTAATTGTCTCCTGGGCTGGGGACTTATATAATTGGAAACTATCTGATCTTCTTTGAACTAGAGGAATATCGACACCACTCAAGGGTTGATGTCTGGACTAAGGCCTTGAGTCATGTGGACCTTCATTTAATGTTGTCTGTTGGGCTGCCTTTTGGAAACTCAAAGAAACTTAAGAGTTTTTGTATTTGCACTTTGGAGTCCGGGTTTTAGACTTTTATTAATTTTCCCCTTTCATTCCCTCCTTCGACTTTACATCAAAAACCAATCCCTTGTTTTCTGGTAGGGAATTAGCAATATAAGGCCCAGATGTTAGCAGGCCCTGTAAGCTACTAGCTGACAGATTTTTCTGGGGGAGTGACATTGGCATCCCCTAAGTAAGGGAGTTTCCTTTTGACTTAGCATCTGAACCAGGGAAAATGGGCAATGTATTCTTTCTCATGATACTTCCTGTTGGCTTTGGGGTGTCGTTTGGTACCCAAGAAGGCTGACATGCTCATCAAAGCAAAAATGGAATCTAGGCAATAGGAAATCCATCAGGAGCTTCTGGTTGGCATACTCTTCTGAAGAAACAGGGAATGTCCACATCCACAGCATGCCCAGGCCTCGTAGTCCTTAGGGGCAGTCTGTCTTCAGCAGCTGATGTTCACATGCATAGGCGGGGAGCGGAAATCTGTTTAAGGCCTGTTTAAACTGGCAACAGAAGGGAGAACTTAAGTATTCAATTGGAATTCTTAGGTCTTTAGTTTTAGTTATCAGGTAGGGCAGGAGTTCCAAGGCAAGGGGAGAAAAACCCCATACAATAGGCTAAGGTTAAATGAGGTTAAGTAGAGACATGGGGTTGCAAGTTGGTTAGTCATTTATCTTGGAAGGGGATTGAGGAATTTCTGTCACTTTATCTCCAGGTGTGCCCACAGTCCCATAGTTACTTCTGAGGACAAATAGCTAACAATTGGGCATTTACATAGCTTAGGGGTGGATTCCTTTTTCAGAGAATGGGGGTTTAGGTAAGGGGCATTGAGCAGGCAGCAGTTTCTGGCCTTTTATATACACCCATTTTCTCTGTGTATCAAGAGTACTGGAGATTTTTCTGAAGGGGGTCAGTAGGTTTGTGATCTTTGAACCATCAGTTGGATTGTCCCCAGGCAGTTAACTGGACTAGTCTGTTAACAATACAAGGACCGAGCATCAGGAGCAAGAAGAGTATTAGGAGGGGCCCTATAAGAGCAGATATCAGGGTTCTCATCCAGGGGGAACTGTTAAGCCAGGACTCAAACCATCCTTGGTTGACTTCTCCGTCCCTCCTGCATTTTTCTAGTCCTCTGATCTTGGCCATATTGTCTTTTATTCTCCCTGAGTGGTCTCAGTAAAAACAACATTTCTCCTTTAGGGCTGCACAAAGACCTCCCTGTTGTAGGAATAAAAGCTCTAGCCCCCTCCGATTCTGTAGGGCTACCTCTGCTAGGGAGCTTAGGGCATCCTGTAAATGAGTGATAGAATCCTCAACCAGTTTAAGATTCGAGTCTAAGCTTGCCCTTAGGGTAGAATAGTATTGTCCTTGTTGTATGAGTGTCGTGGTCTCGATACCTATACCAGTGCCAATTCCTGCCCCCAGAAGGAAGCTTAGAGTTATTAAAGCAATAATTTCTCTTTTTGTTCTGATAGTTCCCAGTTGGCCTGAGTAGAGTGACAGAAAATTTTCCTCAGTATGATAGATGGGGGGAGGGGAGGACTCTGATGAGGACACAGAAGCCCCCAGATCTAATAAGCACTTGTTGGTGAATGCAGCATTTCAGGCCAGTAGAACATACCCACCAAGTGTCATCACAGGGTATAAGGTAGTCGGTGCCATTTACAATAGGGGTATTGAGGGCACTGTACCCACACAAGTTACCTGCCCTGAGATCAACTGATGGGTCAGGGAAGCTTTAGACCATCATCTACAGGAAGTTGGGTCCCTACTGCTTGAGAACGATCCTAGAAAGGCAATTCTTTCATAGTATGTTGGGGCAGTGGTGTAGCATAGCCAAAAGGATTTGGTGGCATTAGGGTTAGTGGCATTTAGAAATAGAAATGACTGCTGGAGAACTTGTAGAAGACTGTCCCTGGGTGATGAGACCCTGGGAGGAATAGGGAGACAGAGATTGGAAGTTACAGAAATGAATGTTTCTATGGTCTGAGAGTGTGTGGTTCTCAGGGGAAGCTGAGTAGGCCTTTGAGGAGGGGGCGCTATTGGGGCTAATACCTTATTTGGTCCTATGGCTGTTAGTATAGGGCTGGAGGTACTGTGCAGAGTGAAGAGCAGCATCGGTTTGTAACCTGTCGTATAAAGGTGTAGGCCCCAAGTTTTTCCTGTTGTGCAGTCCGATTTTCTCCCTGCTTCTGTGAAGCTGATAATGAGCATATTGCATCATGCCCCTTCAGTAGTCCTAGGATGATTGGAGAACCGTTCTTTATCAAAGCAGGGGCCACAGGCAACTTGTTGGTTGCCATGAGTGCATGTTCCCATGCCTGCTGTCTTTAAATCTCCCACCCTCTGTTCAGTGATGAGGTCCCCCTGTACTGGGGGTTGCCAGCTGATCTACCCAGTGGATTCACAACCCCAGGCTGTGCAGTACCTTCCCCGGCACCCCCGAATTTAGCTCGTTGAGTCTTAGAGCAGCCATGTCCAGGACAGACATAGAACTCTAGGCTGCAGGTGCTAGCTCGGCCCCCAGGAGAACTACAGTCATACCCTGGGAACAGCTCCTGATCTGACGGGTCCCAATCTCTGCCCACCAAATTGCATAGATCTACTTACAGGTCAGGATACCAGCTGTCCTTGGGATGGTTGCTGGATGAGGTCCCAGGTGGTGTTGACTGGTAAATGTGCCTTGTGGGCTATAGCAGAGGGGAAAGGTAGGCATAGCATCAGTATCCACCATATCCTTTATAGTTATCAAGTTATCAAGCATATCCTTTATAACTGAAGCTGGAGGGGGTGGGTGGGATGTCTGGTTGTTTTCCAAGTGTCCCCATTACAGTCCCGGGGAGTGGGGAAGGGATCTGTCAGTCTGGCGTGGGAGTGGTGGATCCAGGTGGCAATGCCATCCAGGCAGTTGGTCATCAGGACTACATAAGGTCCTTATGTAGTCATCAGGACTACATAAGGCCCCTTTCCATCTTGGTTCCAGGATTCTGTGTTGGTGTCTGCATACGAGGACCCATTCTCCTGGGAGGAGCGTGGGGGAGTTGAGGGGGAGCAGCAGCTTCATAGATATCCCTAAGGTGGGACCATACTCGTTTGT